GTTTTTTTTGTGCGAGCGGTCAAGAATCCCCGCATCTAATTGGCTGGCAGAAAACCTAAGCGCCAAGCTACACTCTTATTGGTCAGTTTAGACCCACTTTTATGTCACGTGATTCATTACTTCGTCAGTAATGAATGAACCTCGGTCAGCAATTTTGGGTAAGGAATTATTCTTTACGGTAAATTGTACAACCCTAGCAATTTTGGGTAAGGAATTATTCTTTACGGTAAATTGTACAACCCTACCGACGGGACGGCCGACGGACACGGCGCACTGGGCGGGGCTGGCGAATCTGTGGTGGTGGGCTGATCGGGGGAAGGGCGTTGCGGGGATCGTTTGCACCCAGATTTTGCCGTTTGCGGATCTGAATGTTTTGAACTTGTGGGGGAGTGTTGAGGGGGTGGTTTATCAGGCGCTTGGGTAGGAGGTCTCCTGTGGTAGGTTTAGGTGGAACTTTGAAGGCGGATGGGAATTTGTTTTGGGCTCTCGGGTGCTTTGAGGACATGCGTAGTTCTGTCTTTTGTGGTATTCGGATAATGATAATGATGTTGACGGCCATGTCGGAGATGATCTACCATATGCCTGGGAAAGCCTTCCGTCATCCGGATCCATCGGGCACGAAAGGGCAGATCTGATCTACGTATTATGGTGCATACCGAGCCCCTAGCACCCGTCTGGCTGTTGCTTGTGACCCATGGTGCATTCTGCTATGCATAGCCTTGTGATAAAAAGACAAGTTCAGTGGGCAACCGGGCTTGACTGGATCGAGATCCCCATAGCTGATCCTACCCCAAAGCCTGATATAGATCCACTTGAGTGTGTCCAATGATTGCAAATGGTAGCATATCAAGTAGAATTCTCTCTGTGTGGGTTAGGGTTCCAACGCCACCTGCATTTTTATCCGGAGTAAGCCTCTCGTTTGGGCTTCCCTCGTGCGCCTCCCCCAACCTGCCGCTATCTGTCGATGGCTTAGAAGAATATTCTTCCATAATAGCAGCATGCATGGCCACATGACATCCCCGGGACAGTATCGGACCAAAGGCCAGACAGCAGAACTGCTACAAATTTATGCGAGCACGTGACGTACCAGCCCTAAAGCCCTTCGACCATTCCCTACCCGCGAGAATCTACCTAGGTAGCACCTACTCCGTCAAGACAGAAAGAAGAGTAAACTGTATGTCCACTGGCCCTTGAATCTGGGTACGACGCCAGATATTAAGCACGGTCAACGTGTGGCTTCTGGCTCCATACGGCCATGCCTCCGACTCTGGGTGCGTCTTGAAAAGCGGCTGGGATCGCTAGCAACGTACAATGAAAATTGAACTCAGAGGGCCAAACAGATAGGCCGGAGCTGGTGGCCTCGATATGGTCAATGTCTAGCCAGTTACTGCCTTATGCCGGAGAACTTCTGAAATCCCATATCTTTAACAGTAACCAGTATGTCGTGAAATTTCAACTTCATTCGACGTGAAGCAGTAACTAGCTATACACTCTATAGCTCAGGGTTCTCAGCTCGTTCTAGAACGCTGAATTGTTGAAGGAAGCCTCATGTCCTCGTTGAGCACATGGCTGTAGACTACCATAAGGTAGTAGCTTATCCATGTTATCTTCCATCTACCTGTAATGTTAGACCAGTAGTCACGGAACTCATCCTGAGATAATAGAACGTAGCGAGTGTAAGCCTGTCAAACGGACGTTTCGTGGTTCAGGTATTAAGGCCCATTGTACCAACCACCTTTCCGGCGCTTTCATTCACACACACTAGACCGGCAGATAGGTGGCGCTCCTGCCTGACCACGATCTTGGTGGAAACTCCAGGACTTCACCTAGAGAGCTTCTGGCGCCCGTATTTTAGTTCGCGGACTGGCGCTGCATCCATGCTTTCACCGATGGGGCCTCATTCACAATCCGCAGTGAATGACTCGACCTCGACTCCGGGTCTTACCTGGGAGAGGTATATCTAGAGGCCAAATCTCCCAGCACAAATGTCTCGACAGTTCCTAAAACCCACAGTCACCAGAATCTCTTGACAGCACAAAATACTTTACTTTTAAGTCCTATCTTTCGAACCACAGACAAAGTCTAGGCACTGAGCTTGGAAGTCAAGGCGTCTCGTTACATATCAGCAGCCTGACGCAGAACACAACCAAGCACTTCATTCGTCCGTAGAACGGTTCTCATCATGGCGATGGACAATGACCGCGGCATGTCCGACATTCCCATTGACGAGGACATCGATATGGACATCGATATGGACACCGTTCTGGACATCGATGCCACCGGCACTGGCATCGACATTACGCGCGCCACTCCCCGCCTCGCCGGTCTTCCAGCCGAGTTACTCGAACTCATTGCGTCGCACCTCGACACAAACGGCTTCAAGCAGCTTCGTCTCACCAGCAAACGCCTGTGCATCAGCACCGGTGCCCTGTTTGGCCGTCGTCATTTCTCCGACGTCACCACCGACCTGTCCGCTCCGTCCCTGCAGAGACTCCAAGCATTCAGTACCATGCATCCCAACCTCGCCAGCCACGTCAAGGAGTTCATCGCCACAACAACCATCAAACCAGAGGGCTGCAATCTGGGCGGCGGCTTCCTCTGGTCCCGCGATCAAACGACCAACAGGCTAAACGGCATTCCCACGGGATTCCTGCAGGGCTGGCAAGCAACGCTCAAGGGCCTCCCAAACTGCAAATCATTCAGCATGGTCCGTCCGTTTCATTATCATTATTCATTGTTTTTGCAGGGCCACGTGGACTTTGCCGCGGCCGAGGGCAACTACCCCATCCTCTCATGCTCCGAGACCTTCGATGTCATGCTCAAGGTCATCGCCGACGCAAGCATCCCCCTGGAGTCATTCAAGCTCAACCTGAACAATTACCATGCCCTCGAAATGGCGTGCGTCGACACAACCTTCCTCACAACCCAGACCTTCCTCGCTTCCTGGTCCACGCTCAAACGCCTGGACATCAGCGTCCAGGTCCGAAACGCCGAAATCTCCAACTACCTCACCGCGCTGATTACCCTGCCCAAGAACCTAGAGTCCCTGAGCATAACCCTCAGCGGCGGCGACAGTGCCAGCGCCCTCCTTGCCAACCTCGCACGCGCCTACACCGACGGCACCTGCGCACCCGCCCTCAAAACGCTCTACCTGGAAGAAGCCACCATCCCACAACGCAGCCTAAGCAAGATCCTCCTCGCCAACCGCACCAGCCTCCAAGGACTCGCGCTTCACTACATCCAGCTGGATGAGCACGGCTCCGTCGCTCTCCTGAAGACCCTGCGGGACGGCGCGTTCGCGAAACTAACCCACCTGACTCTGCGCTACGGCCTGGAAACCAGGAGTGATGTTGAGGCCGGGACGTTCCCGCCCTGGGTTCGTCCTCGGTGGCGCTTGGAGTTTCCGGGGATCAGCGAGGGCGAGGATAGGGATCCTGTTTGCGGAAAGGGCTTTTCTTATCGTCTGGAGATTCGAGGGGGAGTTGCGCGGTCTACGGTTGTGTTTTCGGGCGGATATATGAGGTTGGGGGTTGTGCTGCAGAGGCTTATTGACAGGGCGCAGGTTGTTTAGTTTTCTCCTTTCTGGTTTCATTTGTGGGATTGGACGGTGCGTTTTAATTGTTTGGCTCTTTAGGTTGGTGGCATATAAGACACATGTACCTAGCACTATGTCCAGGGCGTACTACGTTCCCGATTGTTGGAGATTATTACGCAGAGTCCTATCTTTTTACCCGAAATCAATAAATCTTGATGTTTTCAATACCATATTGTTCCCATCTCCCTTGCAAACCCGCCCCTGAGTTCCAGATTTATACCATTCTCCCACCCCCGCACTTCAGTGTTCCAACACGGTCCAAAAGCCCAAGTAACAGTAGAGTGTGAATTCAGAACCCTAAGAACCGGTTTCCCACACCTAGCACCTCCCGAGCGCAGCTACGCCAGATAGAATCAGCTCAACATCCTGCGAAAGGTACGTATCAAGCACTTACCAACCGTGCACCGGCTATCCGTATAGTACCCATTGACATAGCACGAGAAATTGCCAAACGTGACTCGTTGCCACGTGCTACCATACCGGTACGAGTTAGCAAACCGTGGCCCGCTGCTTATGTTCCTCTGCGAGCTAAAGCATCTGCCTGCTGTGCCGCAACCCCCCATGGACAGGTCCAACTAACCAGTTCCCATTATAGCAGTCCCCCGACTTATAGCACTCGAACTCGTACGTCCCGCCAGGATACACGAAAGTGCGCATGGCGTAGTCGAAGCCCGGCCCCGCGCGGCAGTTGACCTCCGAGTTTGCGTTGATGACTTTGCAGGTTGTCACGGCGCGCTGGGCGAGGGGTGGGTTTGGGCTTGGGGAGTCGGTGTCGGTCTGGTGGTTTTCGGCGCTGGGCGCTGGACTGGCGAGGGTGTGGAGGGGGAGGAGGGCGAGGGCTAGCTGCATAGCTGGGAGGAGGAGGTGGACGTGCATGTTGGGCTGATGGTGGTGCTGGTGGATTGTTGTGATGATACAAGCTTGCTGGAAGGAAAGGCGTTAAGGGACTGAAGGGAACAGTGGCTCTTATAGTTTTTCTTGCACGTGCAACATGGCCAGTATCGAAGACTTCAGCGGATCGCATGACTCAAGTATAGGGCGTGGCTGGCCAGTTAGGTACCATGTGTTCGCTATGGTTACATTCAAAATACGAGCAAGATACTTCCCCGCGCCAAGTGTAGTATGCAGCGGCATAGATATAGCACTCCGCAGATTGTATACGAGGTCTATTTTGAGACACGAGGAGCCCAAGACGCTTGGGGCTGCAGCACGTAGATCCTTACCTCTGGTCACCCTGGCCTCCTCCCATTATGGCTGCAAGTGGGAATCTTATGCATCGATGATAAGTAATTGATATAATGCAGCCGCCGGTTGGACGGGAGATTCAGTGCCCGCCCGCGCCCGAGTATCAGAGCCTAACTACCTAGTTGATGTCTTGAGCATTGGCTTATCCATCAGAACGAGTGAGACTCCATTCTAGCTTGATCGCCGTCCAGCCTTGTCATCGAACACCCCGAGTCCGGCCGGGTTTCGCACCCTAAAGCCAGCATCCTCTTTCCCTGTCCTCTTCCCAAATACCAACCTCGGATGCCCTATATTCGGAAAAAGGCCAGCGACACACATGATGCTATCCGAATTGAAGACCAGCGATTACGCTTATATGTTAGGAACAATACAATAATCCGGTGAACTTACCCCGTCTCGAGCGCAATAAAGAGCACATAGTCCAGAAACAACTCACTATAAGTCCCCTCCTTCAACTCAACAACATGATAAATGCACCAGATCAAAACCAAATATTGGTTCGCCACCTGCATCCAAGGAAGCGGTTAACCCCGACGGTGGAGGGCAAGACGGACGTTCTCAAGAGCAGGACATAGATGGCCGCGCGGAAGAAGACGGGGGCGACTGTTAGGCAGACTGGCAGGACCAACGGTCAGCTCTATATAATCATCCTAACAAGGGATTGGGAATGTAGGTATCGATATTCCTATCAATACCCAGAAATTCAAACGGATTACCATGCAGTATAAGCCATCCAGTATAGCCCGCCATCTCCACGCACAGCCAAGGATCACGCTAACCGGAGCCCCCATGTATAATGATACATCTCCTGGCTGATATTGAGGAGTGAGAGAGGCCGAATATCGCGATGGCAAGAGTTGGCTGGGATCACTAACAACAACAGTATGGGTCCGTACAGAATCGCCTCGAGATGCAACGACCCTGATCACCCAGCTTAATTCCAGCGGGGAGACCAAGCGGCTTACGTCTACAAAGCTCAGTGGAATAGCCCGAGTCAACGTGACTTCGTGCCCTTACTGATCCAATGCAGACTCGAGATCCGCAGTGACCGTCTCACGAAACCCATTCAAGCGTCGGAACAAACGCGATCTGTCCCGCTTGGACATGTCCAGGAGTGCGGGTTCTTAGCAGCATACACCCCGCCAACCAAACACGATATCTGCGGGATCTTCGTCGCCGTGGGCCATACTAGCCAGGCGTTCGGTTGAAACCTCTGCAGCAAAGTAGGGCTGGTCCTTCTGCTACCAACACAGCAGTCGGCTATGTTTATCTGGTGTACACGGCCTCGGGAAGCCGCTTGGGCCGAAGACGAAGAAGGGAAGAGAAGCCACTAAGACCAGGCTTTTCCGAGCATGGTGATCTCGATCTCTCATCGAACTGACAACTGCGAGCAGTTGCAAATTCACAGGGTAAGTATGGAGAACGTACCGCTCCCGGACATCCAATGTTCCCACTTCCTTCAGTTTATCATTCACCTCAGCGCAGTGAATGTGCCAGGACAGGGTCTTCCTTGACCAGTGAATGCCCATGCTTCGTGGCTCTCCAGAACTCCAGCATAGACGATATATAAACCACCTGGACCCCCCTTGAACTGGACCATAACCTTCCATCTCTCTACCTACACCTCATCATCCTCCATCTCAAACAAAACATCTTCATGTTGCACCAACCCAACAACATGGCCAATCTTACCAACACTCACCTCTCCAACCCCCTTTGCGACCTCCCCGCAGAGCTCCTGGACAACATCGCAGGCCACCTCCCACTGGCGGACCTCCAAAACCTGCGCCTAACCAGCCGAGTCCTGAACGACAGCACACACCACCACTTCAACAAAACCTACTTCTCCAACCGGACAACCGACCTCTCGCGCGCCTCCCTCGAGAAGCTCGACGCCATATCCCGGGACCCCCACCTCGCCGCCCAAGTCAAGCAGCTCACCATCACCGGCGACAGAATCAAAAACTCCACCCGCCTCGGCACGGGTCTCGGCTGGCGGCGCCTCGAAAGTTCCTCCTCCCCATACCTCAAGGGCCGCCTCGTGCACCCGCAGAAGCCCATCAGCAACTGGAAGACAGTCCTCCAGCGGTTCGAGAACATGACCTCCATCCGCGTCTGCGAGGCCAGCAACGAACGCGCCCCCAACCCAAACGCAAACCCGGATACGACCGCGGAGGCGGAATCGGACTCGGAATCGGAGTCGGAGTCCCGCCAGGCCCTCCGCAGGACAACATTCCTGCGCGAGGGCGAGGTCTTCGACGACGAGCTCATCCTCACAGACGCATACTTCGTCCTCATGACCATCCTGCCGCAGCTGAACCGCCCAATCACCAAGTTCGCGCTGGCCTTCGACATCATCGTCATGCACCGCCTGTCCCCAGCGCACGTCCACGACCCCGAGTTCCGCGCCATGTGGTCGAATCTCCGCGAGCTCAAGCTCTCCGGCGGCCGGTACATGACCTTCGAGTGGGGACAGGAAGCGTACATCGACAGCCTGGTCCGCGCCACCAGCAAGCTCGAGACGCTGGTCCTGGACTTTCGATACGTCGGGAACGTGCTGCACCACCTCACGCCCGACCAGCAGGCAGAGGGGTCCGAAGCGCACAGCGACATGGACCTGCACCAAGACCGCATGGAGCTCCCCAGCGGCATCGCGCCATTCCACTCGCAGACGCTGCGCACGCTCGAGCTGGGCAGCGGCTACTTCGGCAGCGGGCAGCTGGGCAGCGGGGCCAAGGTGAGCTCGTTCCTGCTGCGCCACGGCGCAACGCTGCAGAGCATCACGCTTTCCGGGGTGCGGCTGTTCGACGGCGGACTGGAGATCGTCCTGGGTGCGCTGAAGAGCCCCGAGCTCCTGGAACTGCGGCACGTGGGCCTTGCGAATCTGAGGGTGGGACGGTCGGATCCTCACGCGGATCTGCAGAGTACGCCGTTCCCCCGGCACGTCTCGTTTCCGGCTCTGCCTGTTGGGGAGAGGGTGGAGCACGGAGGGAGATTTACGCATGAGAACAAGGTAGACATTTGTCCGCGGCGTTCGACGTCGAGGGTTGAGATTCGGGGGTCAAAGGCACATGTTGTGGCTTGGGTGGAGAGACTGGAGGAGGCGGTTGTGCTTGGGGAGGGGGTGTCTTATCTGTGACGTTCTCGCATCTCTCGCCTGGGTTGGAGTAAGCAGATGCCTTCTTTTGGTGCGTCGGTCAGGGGTATCGTCTGAATCTTTGTTTGTTCTTCGGGTTAATCACAAAAAAAAGAGAAAAAAAAAAGTGTCACATTACAGTTTGTACCTAGTTAGTTAGGGTTACCTCTGCTGGAAGTGGGTGCCTGAGGCCACCGGCGGCCTTAGGGCTCCGGTGGAGGAAGGTTCTTCTAGCCTAAATAGCCACTATAAAACTTTTTATTTATTTTTAAAATATCTAGCTTAGCACACCAAGCAATATAAAAAACTTTTATATATAATAATTATTTATTTTTTTAGTAGGTTATAAGCCTGGGTTTACTTAATTTATATACCTAATTAAAAGTCTTTTTTTTAAGTTAACCTATATTAACTAAATATATAATATTTTTTTATTTTACCTATCTAGCTTTATATTTTTTTATAACTTTATTAATTATTATAATAATTAAAAAGCCCTATGCTTAGGGCAAGGCCTTTATTATAAGGGTATAAATATTATAACTTTATTTTATTTTATTTTAAATTTTTTATTTTTTTTTACCTTTTTAATTAGCTTTTAACTTTATAAACACCCCCTTTTTAGGGCCACATGTATTTAATTTTTTAATAAAAACAAGTTTTTTTTAATAGCTAAAAAGTTTTAAAACCTCTAGAGGTAGTATAACACCTTTAAATTTTTTAATTTAAATTTTAATTTTAATTATTTTTTAAAAATTTAAATTAATTTTTAAATAATTAACTAGCTATCCCTAGTTACTAGCCTTTTTTTTATAACTATCCTAGCATAGGCTTTAGCCTATTTAATCTTAACCTTACTATGGTAACTTCTTAGGGCTTACTATTTTTTAACACCTTTGGTTCTTAATCTTCCTCCCTAGGTAGTTTAATCCCTGGCTTCTAGACCGCTCTAATTTTTTTATTATTTAGTTTTTTTATATCCAGTTCTCCTACATCTAGTTCTCCTATACTAAGCTAAGATAAAAAAAATAACCTTAATTAAAGCAAAGAACATCCCGGTTTTAATATTAAAAAACTAGTAAGTTAAATAAAACTAATAGGTGTTTTTAAAGCTTTAAAAGGCTAGCTATAACTATTTTTTAAAGTAGCTAAACTAAAGGTACCCTATAAGAACTATTTTTATTACTTTAGCTTTTATTATATTAACTTTAGTAGGCAAAGATACCAAGACCCCTAGTTAATAATTTATTATAAGCTAAGTTAAAAATATAAGTATTAATAATAAAATTTTAATTATTATTATACCTTTTATTTAGCCTGTTACTAAAATTATTATTACTAAGGTTATTATTACCAAGCCTATACCCCTAGTAAATTATAATAAGGTTAAAATTTAGTATTAAAACTAGGACCATGCCATGGCCTTAATTTTTAATTATTTAGGTTTTAATTTATAAAATCTTTTTATTAATAAGTAAATAATATATAAGCTACTTAATAAAATTAAAAGTTATTTTAAACTTAATATTAATATTATAATTTTTAATACCTGGGCTAACTTAATATTTTTATTTTATAATAAAAATATTTTTAATTTTAGTAAGAAACTTAAAAAAATTTAGTAAAAATTTATATATATTAATATTACTTTTTTAATTAAGCTTATTATTACTACCTTTTACTAAGCCCTAGGTAATTAATTTAATTATCTTAAGGTTATATATTTTAATAATTATATTATTAAATACCTCCCGGGGGATACTACTATATTAATTATTTTTTTTAAATAATTTTATAATTATTATTAAGTTTATTAAATTAAACTAAAACTAGGGTACTGGTACCCTAGCACTTTTTTTTAATAAAATATTTAAGCTTAATATTAAATATTATAAAAACTACTTTAATATTATTTAAATATATAAAAATAAAGGTATTATAAATATTACTATATATTATTATTTTTATTATAACATGCTTTTTTATAGCTAAAAAACCTATTATTAATTTTATTTTAAGCTTAAAATTACTTAAAAAAACTCCCGGGGTGGCAAGGGCGCTAAGTATTTTTAAAAAAAAAATTTAAATTTAAAAAAGAATATAAAGCCTATACTTAAATTAACGTTTATAACTTAAATTAGCTTTAATTTTAAATAAGAAATTATTTAAAATAGTTTTATTTAATAAATTACCCTAAATAATAGTTATATATAATATATTACTTATAATTACTTTTTATTTTAAAATCTTAAGCCCTATACTAGCCCTAGTATTAAAAATATTAGCCCTAAAATTTTTAGTACTTAAGGTATTAATATTATTAAAATCCCTTATTATATTAATAACTAACTTAAAATCCTGGCTTTAAATAATATTTTATATTATCTTAATATATTTTTTATACTAATATTTATTTTTTAGCTACTAAATAAGTATTACTTAATTAGCTTTAACTGGTAAAATATAAAAGCTAAAAAATTATAAGGTATTAATATTATTACCTTATATAATTATAAATTAGCTTAGTATATGGTTACTAAAGTTTATAAAGTGTTTTTTTAACCTTTACTAGGGTTTAATAATATTAGTTATTTTAATATTAATAGCCTTTATTTTTTAGGATAAATTTTCCTAGCTTTAATATTAATAAATAAGTTATATTTTTAAAAATTAACTTAATAAAATAAAAAAGGTAGTTTATAGCATGTATATACTTAAAAATTATATTTATAAATTTTATATTACCACATGCTAGCAAGCTAAGCCTTATAAAAATATTATAATATTTATTAATTAATTATTTAAACTACTTTATATAAATATTTTTAGCCTATATTTACTTTTATTTAATAAGAAAGTATATATTAGCTTTATTATAAATAATAAATTTTATTATTATTAAATTATAATACTAGCTAGTGTGGAGGGGCAGTACTAGAGCATGGGAGCTAAAGGAGCCAAACAGTGGCAGAAACCTAGGACTGGATGGTACATAGTACAGGTAGGAATAATAATAAAAAAAAAAATATATATATTAGGGTAAATAATAGACTAGGTATAAAAGGCTAGTAATAAAATTATAAATATTATAAAAATTAATATTAAGGTGCAACCCCACTATATNTTTTTTTTTTTTTTTTTTATTAATATTATATACAGGTAATAATTAAATAATTTAGTAAATATAATTTAAAGCTTATTAGCTTTGCTAGGGCAAAAAGTGCTAATAATAATTAATAAGTAATTTAGCTTTATTTAGCGCTTTTTTAATAGCTATAACCACGTGGGTAGAAACCAGGGTAGGGGGTAATATTATTTTATAATAATTATAGCCTAAGTTACTAAAGTACTCCTATTTTAGCTTTTAAAATTACATGTATATATTTATTATAATAAAAATAACTTTTTTTTTTCCAGGACTTAAAAAAGTTACGCCTAATAAATATATTTAAGCTAAATACTAGCTTTATTTTATTAACTATTTTAATTATATTTTATTTATAATATTTTATTAAGGCATTACTAATAGCCCCTAGCCCCTGGAGTTAAATAGTTAGGGTAAATAATTATAAAATTTTTAAGTAATAATTTAAAAAACTAAATAAAAAAATAGGGCCGGGCATAAGGTTATAATATATAATAGCTAATTTTTTTTAGGTACCTTTTTTTACTATTTTAAGTATTTAATAATTAACTAATATAGTAATATACTAGGGTAGTATTATATGCCTTATTTTTATAGCTAGTCTAGTAAATTTATATAATACTAGCAGGTATATAATTTAAATAATAAGCCGTGAGTAAAAATTTTTTTTTTAATTTATATAAAAGTATTTAATATTATTTTTAATTTACTTTTTATTTTTTATATAGTTAATTAAATTAAAAAGGTTATTAATACTATCTCGCGCCTTTACTTATACTAGCTATGCCTTTACTTTATTTTTTTAGTATATACCTAGCAAGACCTTGGTATAATTATTATTATTTTTTATATTTAATAATAATAATTCCTAAATAATATTTACTTCTTATTTATCTTAAAGCACTTAATTAATATTAATATTTATATATTAAAAGTAGGTATAATCCCCTTGCTAGGTGTACTTTATATAATATAAATATAAAATTAGTTAGTACTTATAATTAGGCCTTAATATAATATACTAGGCCTAATAAAATAGGTCCTAGCGCATAAGTTATTAAATAATAATATAATAAGTATTTTATAGCTAGCTATAATTTAGCGCCCCTTAGTACTTGCGTAAGTAATAAAAATAAATATTTATTTTTTTTTAAATAAGGTTTAAAAATTAAGTATTTAATTTATATTTTTTAGGCGCTAGATTTTTAAGTTTTTTAGCTAAATAATTAAAAAAACTATTAATATTAATAAAACCTTGGTTATTAAATAAACCTTTATAATTTTTTTTTATAATTTACTAGGGAGAGTACCGCGGGCAATTTTTATAATATTAAAATATAAAAATAACTTAAAAAGCTAAAAATACTTATAATAATATTAATAAATACCTAGTATATTTTTTAGGCGCGGAGGTTAAACTTTTTATTAAAATTATATAAAGTAAGCCTTACTTGCTATAATATTACCTAGGTTTAAATAATTTTTTAAAATAAATTTAATATAAGGGCGTAGTACTTTATTAAGTAAGTTAATTTTTATATTAATTTTTCCCCCTAATTATTTTATATAAAGGTGGTATATATACTAGCACTTTTTTTTTAATACTAATATAATTTTTTTATAAATTTATTACAGGGTGCGTGCTTATAAAATAGTATTTTATTTTTTGCTAGTTTTAATTATAAAATTAATAGTAATTAATACTCGTGTATAATAGCAAGTA